TGCGTTTTCGTGGAAACGAAATCATACGATATGTCCTGTGTCTGGCTTCGTTCACTCAGCACAGTATTTCAAGGTTCCTCCATGCTGAAGCGCATGCCAGTACTTCATTCTTGTTATGGCTGAGCAGTAGACTGTGTAGATGGACACAACAAGAAACCAGGAGACAGGGCCCCCCCTGGGAGCTAGGGCAGGCTGGCGATGACGGAGGAAGGGGCCCGGGGAGAAGAGGCCCCCCTCTAGCTGGCCTCTTTTGTGGATGGACATTTGGTTTGTTTCCACTTTTTGGCGATGCTGACTAATGCTGCTCTGAACATGCACATGCTTTGAGTAGACAGGTTTTTGTGGGGGCGTATGTTTCTAGTTCTTTTCTTTGAGGCGCACACCTAGGGGTGGACCTGCTGGGTCACGGCAACTCCGTGGTGAGATGGACTTTTAAAGCGAGCAGCACACCTGGCTGACCCTGGTAGGGTTGTGGCATGCTGCAAAGGCGAACAAGCTGCTGGCGAAAGAGGCACAGGCTCTCTCCATGGGAGACCAACCGAGGGCCCAGACTAAAGGAAGGAACCGGCTCTTGTACTGTGTCCCCTCAGGGGCCAGCGTCGTGGGGAAGCAGGTCTGAGAGTGGCCTGGGGAATCTTGCACAGAAGACTGGGTCTTGTGCAAGGGGTAGGAGGGAGTTGGAGCTGGGTCATGGGCAGGGCAGGACTTGCAGGAATTTGAGAGAAAAAGAAAGGTAGAGAAGGAGATAGTGAATAGGGCAAAGGGGGGAAGGACTCAATAAGGCTTCAGTTAGCAGGGTGTATCCAGGGGAGAGGCCAAGGTGAGGCTGGGAGGAAAGCCACTCACCTACCCCGATGCCTTTCAGATAAAGGGGTCCCCTAAACTGCCCAGGGTAGTTAGACAGGTCCCCAGGAAACCAGGAAAGGAACTCTCAACTGTTGTCTAAATACCCCTCCTCTTTCCTGTCTGACAAAGCACATACCTGCACACCCTGCCTACCAGGTGGCTGTGCGTTTTATATGAACTATTTCCTGCTCTTCTGGCCCTAATGTGCACCCTTCTCCCTCTTGGCCTGCATGTGATGGCCTCCTTCAACATCTCTCTGCTAGGAGAGAGAGAGAGAGAGAGAGAGAGAGAGAGAGAGATAACAAACAGCGTGCACACTGGTTCCTCCCCTGCACCCATTCTAACAACCAAGGCTTTCCACACCCAGTCCCTCCCATGCATGTCCCTACGGAAGCATCCAGAAACTATTCAGCCCTGGCCCTGGGTCTGGGGCAAGCAGCAGGCAGAACTGAGCAGGAATCCTAGAGAAAGCAGCTGCCAGGACTCTCCTCTCCAAGGCTCTGCGCTCGCCCCACTCCTCTGCAGCAGCTGGCCCTCTGCAAGGCTCAGCCAATCCCCCACTGACAAGCAGGAGCCTGTGCAGAAGCCAGTAATCACTTAAGCCGAAAAGCACTTGCAGGGTGTTAGCACTTTAACTGAGAGGTGGGGAGGCCCAGAGGAATCAAGCTTTAGAGGCTGGTTTCAGGGCTGGTGGAGGTTGTGTTTGCTGAGGGGGGCTGGAGAGGATGGGGAGTCATGATGAGCTACCCAGCCCTGGCGAGGTGGTGACTGCCATTTACACACAGGCCAGCCTGTGATATCCCTCCATTTCCACTGTTTGCTCTGAACCAAAGGAGAGGGTTCTTTGCAACATTTTGCCTTGGGGATGGAAGGACTAAGGTTCAGAACTTAAACCCGAAACACTGCCAGGACCTGCTCCCCCTCCCCCCTCCCTCCCATCCAACCCGCCCTGCCCTACCCCCACCCCTCTGATTATAGCAGGAAGCCCCAGAGGCCCACAGTTTCCTCCCCAGGGGAGTCAGCCATGCCTGTGCCCAGGAGTACAGGGTATACCTTGTACCCCGCAGAGTTGAAAATGACCTACTCATAGAGCAAGAGGCATTTTAAGGTCTCTGGTTCTAGAGACAAACGCCTGGGTCCACACCCAGACTAGGCCTCTTAAAGCTGTGGGACCCGGGGCAAGTCTCTTAACCTCTCTGTGCCTCAGCTTCCTTCTGCAAAACATGGAAATAGTAGTAGTTCTCTTCAGGGTTGTTGTGAAGATTAAATGAGCTGATATCAGTGAGGTACTAAGGGCAGTGCCTGGCATTGGGTGAGTGCTCAGTAAAGTTAGTGGTTATTGTTGCCATGATCGTTTTTCTTTTCTGCGAGTAGGTTTCCTGCAGCAAGACCCTTTCCACTGCCTGTTCAGAGCCCCCTGTTGAGTAAGGAACCTGAGGGAGGTGCAGAGCCAGCGAGGAAGAGATGGCTCACCGGGACGTGTATCTGCCCCTCTCACAAAGACCGGCACAACAACCTGCCATTTAGAATGATACTCATTCCCCTTTTGGTTCAGTGCACGAAAAGGTTGCAGGTAAGGGAGTGTTTGCAAATCAAAATACTTAGAAAAGGAGAACAAAGCCAGAAAAACACCTTGCTAGGTCTCTAATTAAACTCTAGGGCGGCCAGTGGTCGGCAAACTCATTAGTCAACAGAGCCAAATATCAACAGTACAACGACTGAAATTTCTTTTGAGAGCCAAATTTTTTAAACTTAAACTATATAGGTAGATACATTGTTATTAACTTAATTAGGGTACTCCTAAGGATTAGGAAGAGCCACACTCAAGGGGCCAAAGAGCCGCATGTGGCTCGCGAGCCGCAGTTTGCCGACCACTTAGGCAGATTGCCTCACACCTGTCAGAAGAGCTATCATCAATAAATCAACAAACAAGTGTTGCCAAGGACGTGGAGAAAAGGGAACCCTCATGCACAATTGGTGGGATTGCAAATTGGTGCCGCCAGGATGAAAAACAGCATGGAGGTTCCTCAAAAAATTAAAAATAGAACTTCCCTATGACCAGCAATGCCACTCCTGGGAGAAATCTAAAATGCTAATTTGAAAAGATAGATGCACCTCTACATGGACCGCAGCAGTACTTACGACAGCCAAGAAATGGAAACAAGCCAAGTGCCCATCAATAGACAAGTGGATGAAAACGCGGTGGTACATATATACAATGGAGTATTACTCGGCCACAAACAATGAATGAAATCTTGCCTTTTGTGACAACATGGATGGACCGAGAGGGTATGTTGCCAGGTAAAATAAGTCAGACAGAAAAAGACAAATACCAGGTGATTTCACTTATATGTGAAATCTAAAAAAACCCCACAAGCAAACAAAACAGAAATAAACTCACAGAGACAGAGAACAAACTGATGGTTGCCACATGGGAAGGAGGCTGAGGAGGATGGGTGAAAAGGGTGAAAGGACTAAGAAGTCCAAATTTCCAGTTATAAAAACAGGCCCAGGCTGTAAAATACAGCATAGGGAATATAGTCAAGAATATTTTAACGACTGTGTATGGTGCCAGATGGGTACGAGACTTATCAGGGTGATCAGTTGACAAGGTATATAAATGCCTAACCACTATGTTGTACACCTCACACTAATATAATATTGGATGTCCAATGTAATTTATAAAACAAATTAAAAAACACCCCTAGGCAGAATCGGAATGGATCTTACGCTTTTAAAGATTTTCTGAATCTCATATACACCCAATCCTGTACAAAACCCACAGAAACATTAGTATACACAAGGAGAGGTGCTTATTAAGAGGAGAATTCTTCCATTTACAAGAGAATTTCGTAGTGGGGATAATTGCTCCCTAACTGATCCTGTTTTGTCACTTGAGTTGCTTAAAGTACGACACCTGTGCCCCTCTCCATCAGCTCTGGAAGTGAGGTGGACAGTAAAACCTACCCTCATGGATACCTCTAGGAATGAGCCCAAAGGGGTAGCCCTTGGCCCAGAGCGGCCCCCCCAGAGCTTTCTCTGGGAGAGCCCTCCTGTGGTTTTGCTCCCAGGCTGTGGGCCTGCTCCAGCCCATGCAGCCCATGCAACCCAGGAAACCGCCGGCCCCGCGCTCTCGGGGAACTAGAAAAATCTCCCAGCAGCTTCTGGCTTGCAAGTCATCTACCCCCAGTTTTGGCTCTGCTCTCCCAGGTGCTCTGGGAGAGTGATCCTGCTACCTCCCCACAGGGCTCCCTGGAGGCGGCCCCGTCCAATTCGAGCAGGAGATTGACGTTCTGCTATGAAATCCAAAAAGAAGTCCCTGGGGCCACGCCAGGCACTCCAGGGCCAGTCCTGGGCAGAGGCCAGGAAGGCGAGGGAGTGGAAGGGACCTGGCACAGGGACAGGGTCACCTTCCCCCGCTCTAGGTAAGACGCCTGCGCCTGCCCTACAGGCCCTGGAGGGAGGTCCCGCAGGTGAAAGGGCTCTGCCTCCAGGTGCCCTCTTCCTCCATGCAGGCCCCCGGCCCCTCAGGAGCAGGAACACGCGGGACCCTGGAGCCTGTGCCACCTGGGACCCGCGACAGCCTGTGGCAGCCGATCTGAACTGATGGTGGGCGAGGAGCCCGCCCCAGGGGCTCGGTCGAGCCTCAGCCCTGCTCCGGCCCCTCTCGGGCCGGAGGGGACACTCCCATTCTCCTTCCACCTCACTTCCAATCCCCCTGACAAACCTCGGACCCGTGCGGGAGGGGCCTCCCTGCAAACTCCATCACCCCTCTCCCCCCGGGGTGTGGGTGGGGGCAGCGGGGAGAGCTGGGTGTACCCCCTCCAGGAGTGAGTGGAGGCCGATAAACAATCCAGTCTCCGGGGAGAGTTTTCCGGGAGAGCTGGCGTGGGGGTGGGAGGCGCGGGGGACACGCAGTGGGCAGAGTGGGAGGGGTGGTCGCAGCGCCAGGCGGTGGGCA